GATGATTGTATCATAATTAGCAGCATTATCAGCTTTAGGCCACTCCAATTAGATTCGTGGTTTCTCCTTTTTCTACCCACACACACCCCACATTGGCAATTATTTGATTATTTATGCACTACATCCCTGACTATACACATCAATTTTGATTGCAATATTTAAAATTTCAATGAATATTGATGAAGCCACCAGCTCCCATCAGCCCACTTGTAAAAAGGGAAACTATGAATCAAATTGGAGTGGCCTTAGAGTGCACAATACTTCAGTTCCTACAAATCTAAAAACAGTTCAACCTCTTTTAGCGACTTCCTTGAGTCAAGCTCAGGAACTAAGAAACAAAGCACTTGACTGAGAACCAATACTCTCCATACAGTACTACTGAGTAATTTAAGCTGAGTGTTTTCACTGTTTTGCAATTGTGAATAGCAGCTGGTTAATTATAGCAGTTATTAATTTGTAGTGGAAGTACTAAAAGCACTATTGGTTAGATTTACTCGTAGAACTCAAGACCTGTTAAAATTATTGGTTTTTATAGTAATGGTGATTTCAATGAAAATCAGTATACCAGGAAATGTTGGAGGATGAAATTTTGGTTATCTAAATTGCAGTGATTAATTCGCAAGTACAAGTAAATTTGTGATCATTAAGACCAACAGTAAACTTGGCCTACTCTAAAAGAAGTATATCAAGTGTGTACTCAGATAAGGGTGACGTGTGTGTACAGATAAACAATGATATTTTGCTCAAGTGGGCTCACTCAGGCTCACCCCATTGAAGTCTATACCTAAGTCGAGGTGCTCTATATCAATCAATAATCTTTCAAACTTTGGACCTTGAGTGTCAAACCGATGATACATATCAAACTATTAATAATAAAATTTACAAAAATGACCATAATTATGCACATGAAAAATACCTTTCTTTTAGGATTTGATCTATCAATTAATAGAAAATCAATCAATTCGTCATTATTTGATGCTAACTGTATCCAATGAGACAATTTACCTGTAACAATTTAATAAATTTTTACACAAAAACAAAATATACATCTTAGAATAATTTGTCATACAATTAATTTTTACTACCTCTTCCAGCTCCAAATTCAATAAATAAACTATCACTGGATAGCAATCCTAATGAATCCAAATGACCAATTATCGATGACTATAAATTATAATACATGTTAATGTGCATATTATCAATAATAACAATATGTACTTGTTGTAATAAATGTTTGAGTGCAGTTGGCCCATTACTGTCACTGCTAATTTCATCATCCAATACTTTATGAGTCTTTATATCCTCTGATATTGGTACCTCTAATTCTAATTGCAATAATAATAAAAATCAATCATTATTGATATCATTGTACTTACTCCTTATGGCTTTGTCAATGCGTCCCATTAGCTCCATCATTGTACCTTCACTAAAATCAGAAATATTACACTAAAATAAGAATAATAATAATGACGATCATAATTAATAA